TTTCCTCTCTGCTTTTCAGAGGAGGGAAGTGAAGAATCCATTTAGAACTTCATATCCATGCTCATAGATGTTGTGGCTTTCGGAAACGCTTTATCTTCTCACATTTTTCCATTTGAGCCTTTGCTGCTGCTTATTGGCAGATGTTTCTCTCTCCTCCTTCAGCTTCTACCATCTTTCCTCCAGCCCCTGCTTTTCCACCCTTTTCTTCTCCAGCTTCCACCCGTCCCTAAGCACTTCTTCTACCTTCCTCTGCCTCCCTACCTTCCCCTTTCAGTGTTGGCAAGCACCAGGACTCTTGTCTTTTTGTTGTGTAGGAGCGTGAAGGGATGCCCAGAGGAGCTGATAAATGGCTGGGATGGGAGCCCAGGAGCCGAGCTCCCAGGCCTCTTGGAATGAACTGGGAATAAACTGCCTGCACAGTCGCCTCATCTTCTTGGTTTAAAGCAGACACCGAGTCCACAAATGCTTTTTGTCTGCGGAGAAAGCTGTACAGCTGTTTGCAAAAGGCCAGGTAGAGAAATATTAATCTGAAATCAGTGATTTTAACAGAGCAACCTAGATAATTTTGGGTGTAAATGAGGGAAGAACCTGGCCCTAAGATGTTGCCTTGCTAAGGGGCACAGTACCCAGTGTGGTGGGGTTTTATCCCTGCTTAAGGACAAAACTCTGCAAGCAGCTTCCTGGGACAGTAGATGGAAGAGGGACACGTTCACACCATCCAGGCAGGTGATGAGACAGAGCAGAGCCTCTTCATGTCTTGTTCCTTCAGTCCCTTGTATCCAAACAGGGTCTGCCTCCTATAGACATCGAGAAAGGAAACGTTCATCAATGTGAAAACATTACAAACCAGGAGCGGTGGGTTGTTCGTTGGGACGTCTAGCCCTTACATGATGCTTTTTAGCAGCCATCTCCAAAGATGCGCAGGCTTCAGAGCTGCTTCTATTTTGGAGGTAGGAAAGACCATCTGAGGTAACAGAAATAGTTTCATCAGTCCAGAGAGCTCAGGTAATCATAGGTCTCTGCTCTCACCGCTGGGTCAAATTGGCAGAATGATTAAGAGATTAATTTCCTGGTCTGCTACAGACTTCTGGTGTGGCCGTGCGCAAGCAATGTAGATTTTTCTTTACTGTTGTGACCCCTCTTTGAAAAATGAACATAATAGTACATTCAGAATTCCAGGATTAATTAAAGTGTGTTATTAAAGGCTGTGACACTGTCGTTGGGTGCACCCAATATGAGAGACAAAACCCACCACATTGGTGAGCTCAGTGAATTTGAGCCATCCAGAACCGTAATAAATCTTTTTTTAATAAAATAATAACTCAGAAGAGGTGGTCAGAGCTACCAAGCATTTATAAAGTGTCTGAGCTTCTGCTCTTGGAGGCAAAATTCCTCTGCAGCGAACATGAAGTTTGCACAAAAAATAAAAGACCAGACTGGAAGAGATTTGCCTTCAGCAGAAATGAATTCCTGTGGGATAACGGGCAAGGAAACTCTTCTAAGAGAAAACTCGTGTTTGATGAACACGTTGCTGGGGCAGAGCCCTTTGCTTTGGAGACTTCAGGTTGGTCTAGAAGAAAGGATAAGGTTGACACCAGGCTCCTGAGCGGCTCAGTGGGTCAGCAGACTCCTTTAGAAGCATCCTCTCCATGCCCCTAAGAATGATTTTCTGTGTCAAGATTGAAGAGTTTCCCTAATTGTGGTATTTCCCCCGAGTGAGTGATCCTGGAGCCAATATTAATTAAACTGAGAGCGCCGGGACACCGCTGATAAGTGCAGCAGCCTGATCCATGGCTGGGTGGCTTCTCCCTGCACCAGGGGTGTGAGCAGCCTGGAGGTGAAACCGCTGGCATTTAAAAACCAGGCAGTTACAGCCTCTTCATTTATGCAGGTACTACAGCTTTGCAAAACATGCTTTCCTGTATTTTTCATGTTGATGAAAGAAGAGTGGGGGTGTAGAGTGTGTTGGTGACCTGCTTGTGGCAGAACCAGCTTGTCCCCCATCACATCTTCCCAGAGCCACTCCGAGGTTTGAATCCCCAGCACTTGCCAAGGTTTTAAGACTTTTCTGCACCCACCCATCTGCTCATAAGGGCTTTTCTACTGACTCCAGGGCTTTCCCTGGCGATGCTTTTGGCCGTGCATGAGGTGTTGAGCTGGGGAGTGCTTCCTGGTGCCCTGCAGCACGGTGCTGGGTTGTGCCTGCTCCCTGGGGCTGGGCTGCAGGCTCCCGGGGCTGTGGGAGCGCCTTCGGGGCTGGGGGCTCACTGCAAAACTACATCCAACTTTGGACAGAATCGGTTTGATTTACATGAAATTCCTTCTCTGTTAATTATTCATTGCTTTAACGCAGGTAGAAATGCTTGCTGCAGAAACGGTCAGTGCGACCATGCCTAGGGTACAGTGACGCTGCAGCCCCAGCCAGACCCGAGGAGCGTGCCCAGGCATAGCATGTAGTGACTTTTGCATGACCCAGGAGGAGGCAAGTCCAGCTTCGAGGTCCTTGGGACAACTCTGCATGCAAAAATTCAGGACGTCGGGTTGTATTTAGCAACAATCAACTCTGTCCTGATGGCATTTGGAGTTGTCAGAATTGATGCTCCATGTTTTTGCATTACCTGCCACCGTGCCCTGCACAGGCAGTGTCACGTAGAGGAGACATCCAGCAAAAGCACAAACCCTTCCCAGCAAACCTCGATGTACACACAGGAGGTTTAAACTCCGTTGTGCAGATATTGCCCCTAACTTTGAGAGATAAGGTTGACTCAGCTCTCCTTTTACTCCTGGCCACCTGCGCTCTCAGTGCTGTGAAGTATTTCAGCAGAGGATTTCAGGATGGGGTTTTTGGTGTTAATGTACTGCTCCCGCATCGAAATTCAATGCTGTAACTGCAGTTTGGGGGTCAGGGGATTTCACTGCAGAAACGCTGGTTTCTCCAGCCCATCTGAATTCAACAGCAAACTTGCCTTCACTCCTCTACCTAAATAAACCCCCAAAGCTGCCGTGGAATGATGGGGTGCCTGTTGCAGAGCAGATAACTCCGCTCCTAGCCTCTAGTGCTGGCTCCAGCACCCTGCCCACCTCCCCGAGCCCTCCAGAGCCCCTCGCCGCTCTGTGCCTCCATCCGTCTGTCCCTGGGGTCTCCATGTGTCTTTGCAACACAGGGACAAGGCTGGGACCTGTGAGCATCTGGGGGAGCACGCACGACTCCAACACCCATCCTGTACTTGCAAGGAAGCCACTGGCTCTGCTTAGAGGGCAAAAAAACTGGTATTTGGTTAATTTTCACCTCTAAGTGCCTTCAACATGAATGCCAGAGGTGGTACCATAAAACCCTATTTAAGAGCCAGTGCTTGTTAAATATTATGATCAACATGAGTTTTGATTCTCAAATGGAAAGGAGCTTCTGCTTCCTGAACGAGGTAATTTCCAGGAACTCAGCACTTGGGACATACTCCAGGGATTTCGTATGTATTTTGGGGTTTTAAGTTTCTGTCTTTAATTAATGGTTTAGATTAATGGGAAGTCACACACGGCACCGGCTGGTATTTCATGGGAATGGCTGTGCTTTGCCTCTGGGCTCTCACTGCTATTGAGGCTTCACTGAAACCTTTGCTCCTGATTGCACCAGTACTTTGCATTTTGTTTCTACAGTTGATTTAATAAAAGGAGAGGAGCAAGTTTTGTTTGCCTGTCAAAGCTATCTTGGAGGCTTTGCAGAGATTATGAGGTCAAATGCGTTATGCAGGGTAATTTCTAGACACGGCACAGGTTTTTCTCCCCTCCTTTGCTCCTTCACAAACTTCCCCCTGAGCCACCTGCAATTTATTTGGATTCATCAAGGACAGCAGAGCTGGAAAAGAGAGAGATGTGTGATACTGGCTGTCCTCCCACCAGATCTGTGCTGCTCCTTGCTAGGCTCTGGGGGGGAAATAAGGGAGAAGATGCCAAAAGGGGAGTAATTTCATGTTGACGCGGAAGCATGGACAGATACACCACGACCAATATGATCAGGGTAAATGCCACTTTATTGCACAGATAGCTCAGCTAATATAGACAATTTTCTCCCGCGCCACGCAACACTCAAGC